TAATTAAGTAAAACTGTTTTGCCTTATTTGCCAATATTTAGTAGATTTTGCCACTGATATTTATTGGTGATGAATTAGAAACTTTCATATAGTCCAAAGTTTTCATTTTCCATCTGTAAGGCTAAAGCCTACCGGTAATATATGCAAGCACCTACCCTGGCCTATGGTCAGCACTCAGAAAATGGTAGTTTCTGTTTTCTTGAGTTTGCATGTCTTCATTTGAGTTTGCGAATATTTAACTTTTGAATTTTTTCCCTCCAGTAGACCTGGTCCTTTAGAATCAATTTGAAGACATCTTTTAAATTGAAAGGGCGAAGGCTACGCCCTCCACCTTCCCCCAGGGTAAGGGCTACGTCCTCCATCTTACCTTGGCCACGTGTTGGGCAAGGAGCTTCTTCAAGGAAGTCTAAGACTCTGCTAGCCACACCCAGGAACGGGACATCGACTTGTGCCTGGCCAATCGGCAAAGCACAGTCCTTTCTCCTCCCTTACTCCAACCCCCCCCATATAACCGGTCCCTGGGCGGGGTTGGGCGCGCTCAGCCACTTGGTTTGCTTTGGTGTCGGTGAGCCTGGTGGATGGGGAGCCCAAGTTAACTTGAAATACAGATTCTTATGCTTTTGCATCGAATTGGCCCCCTGATGTGGTTTCTTGGGAATCTTGAAATCTGGGCACAACATTTGGGGGCTCGTCCGGGATTCCCAAGACCATGTAGAGACTCCCCCAATTCGTAGAATCTGCATGGCCGCGGTAAGTGTCTCTGTATTGTGTTTGTCTGTTCTGTGTGCTTTATCTGTTCTGTGTGAGCTCACTTCTGAAATCTGTATTCGCCCACATTGACCGTGGACGCACATGGGGGTCAAAGGGCGGGAGGAGTCGGGGGACGCCTCGATCCTCCATCTGTATCTGTAGGGGTGTAATTTTGCTTCCGAAAAGTCGGGAGGTCTGTAGAAACCCCAATCTGAGACGAGGTGGGTAGTTCCCGCCGGTTTGGCGAAGGCTGGCTTGTTTTTTCCATGGAAGTGGAAGCTTGTTTTGGACCCTGTTAAGAGGGGGGCTGTTCCGACCGTGTTGAAGTAAAATCTTCCTATACTCATCCATGGAATGGAAAATGGGGTATGTGCCTGGTAAAAAAGTCTGGAAATTACTCAAAGTTAAAGTTATCATATAAAAAAGCAGGGGCATAAATGTACTATGGGCCCACACAAAGACATACACGAAATGTTCATAGGAGTATAATTCATAATCGCGAAAAAGTGAGATATAGTTCATATGGCCAGTACTGATGGCATAAAGTAACATCTGGGATTATCTATACAATG